CGAAGCTCCGGCTTGCACAGTCCTACTACGTAGGAGTAGGAGTGTAGGAGTACACGTGACCATGCATCGCAATCGCATCGCACAAGAGCGGCGGGCGAGCGGGTTTCCAGAGGCAAAAGCCTCACGAGTCACGACCTTTCCAGTCCGGTTGACATGCTTTGATGACTGCCATTTCAGGACATGTAGGTAGGGTAGGGGCCCGGCGCCGGCCGGATCTTCTACGCCACCGGAGTGGAGTCACTCCACATCCACCCCATGCTGCAATGACAAGTTGACAACGACGACACACCTCCCCTGTTCCTCGCAAAAACAAAAAAAATTAATGTGGCCACAACTAGGGCCGGATATCGAGCGCTCGACTCGGTCCACAGCTTGCCGGCTCGTTAGACTAACTGCGAGCTAGAGGGGCAGCTCGGCTCGGCTCGTTGCCGAGCTTGAACTGACTCGTTTAGCTCGCGAGCTATAAAAAATAGGACATATATATTTATAATGTTTATGCTATGTTAATTACAGAAAGTGACGTCCACTATTATGCAACCATACACGATTAATGCATATCAGGTTCATCAAAAATATCAACTATACAACATAGCTAGTCCATCCATGATCGTGCAATTCTAGCATACTAACTAGTTGATTGCCACCATAAACTTAGGAAAGTCCACAGATTCAATGTCAACTTTATCATCTTTTCCCTGGAAAACAATCCATAAAATCAACATTTAAGTACCACAACAATTATAAAATTAAAATTCATATGAAACAGCTGAAAATAAGGATTACATACCAATAAAATAGGTGTACACTTCTAGGTCGGCATCATCATCTTCTGGATTCATGGTCGTGGGTTGATAGGCCTCAGCTCGCGAGCTGGCTCGTTAAAATAGCGAGCTAGACTTACAGCTCAACTCATGAAAATGTTAAAACGAGCCGAGTCGAACCGATCTGAGTCGGCTACGAGTCGAACAAATTGACGAGCCGCGGCAACCCTAGCAACATTGGTGTTACCGTCGGCAGCACGTAGCTAGCCTGGCCCCTTTGTTCTTCTCGTGAGTGTTTTGAATATCTCTGTACTACGACTAGCACAGTACCGGATGATAATAAATATTAATTGAAATCCCATGTACCCTGCCCCCAAATTTCAATGTTCTGTGTACTCTGGCAGAGGAGCATGCATTTGCTTCTCCCCCTGCCGACTGCTCTTCGTTTTATACTTAAATTTTCTCGTACAAATCTGAATCGATGCAAAATTTATCGTTTCCTGCGTGCGTGCTGCCTAAACCGGGGACAGCGTCCTCGACGGACAGCGCAGCAAGGAAATAAACTGCATTTTCTGGTCCTGTTCGCTTCGAGGCATCTCAATAAATCTGGATGAATATATGAGAGGGCGAACAGTGTTTTTCAGTCGAAAACAGTTAATTCCGGCTGAAACGAACTGCCCCTGTTGCTCATTTGTTTTCTGCATAAGACGAAGCAAATTGGCCCTGTTGCTGCGAGCGGCATCATATCGCGGGGTTAATTAAATTAATCGGGTCTCGAATGACTCAGATCAGTCTAGTCCGTGCACGCCACGGAGACGGACGGCGGGACGGGGAGCAGCTAACCTAGTTTACCCTACTACTGCTACTAGTGCTAGGCCTCGGGATTCTGAGACTGTACGGGTCAGAGGGGGCGCACACGTGTTACAGTGAAACTCCGGCTTCTTTTCTGTGCGCTGATCGATCGGTGTAGTAGAGCACACAGCACAGATCTGCAATGCTCTGAACCTGTAATCTTGCATGCTAGGCTTCTGTGCTGAACCAGTGAGCCTAATGCACCTGACCTCGCGTGTGCGTGTGCGTGTAATAATAAACCATAAACAAAAACAGGAACTCTTACGTCCGGGGAACCAATGGAAGATGGACACTTAACTATGCAAGATTTCTCTAATTTGGTGAACACCGGGATTTTTGTGATTGATGGGTGCAAGTATTATAAGTGACAATTTGTTTCGTTCTATGCAACTGAGTTAGTCGTAACGTGAATAGCCATAAGTGACAGGGGCGGATCCCACACTAAGGCGGGGTGGGCTCAAGCCCCCGCTACAGCTGCTCGGACCATGGAGCCCCTCCTACAAATTTATACATATTCAAGCTTAAAAGGAGAGGCGAGAGATGAAAAATGATGAGATAAGCTGCTTATTTTCCTGGATCCATCGCTGATAAGTGCCATGGCCCCAACACTGGATGATTGATCGATGTATGACACAAATAGTGAGGACCAAAGACATCCTAGAGCGAATGTAGTTTGCGAGTACAGTGAAATTCGCTTGTAGTGTGCATCAGGACTTGGTTGTACTATTAAGGAGGTCAAAGGCATTTAACTCGAGAGAGTCGAAATGAGGGCATAGTAATGGACAAGAGGCTAACTCTCGGTTGAGATGATGATGTAAATTAGACATATTAAGATGGTTTTAAGTCAATAATCTTAAAGAAGTTGGATCGGTCAAGATCGGACTTGAAACAGGCTAAATAGCATTAGAGCATGCACCGAACTTGAAACAGGCTAAATAGCATTAGAGCATGCACCGAACGGCAGGGTTGACCCCAGCGGATCGTCCAACGATGTTGTTTCTCAAGCAAAAGCGACTTAATCTAGTGACCATGTGATTGTCGTGTGACCTGGTAGAGAACTGTATGACCTCGACGGATCATCTAGTGAAGCCAAGCTTGACTAAGTGACTTGTTGGGCAGAGGAAAACACTGTTGGTGGTGTCTTATGAAACCAACAAGCGAACAGGCTGTAAGTGACTTGTTGGGCAGCTCACTGTGGTGTGTCTTATGATCCTGTGGAGGACCTTGTGACCTCGGCAGATCATCCAGTGAAAATCCAACTTAACTTACTGAGTTGTTGACATGGTTACTTGAGTGCACCTAATGATCAGGCAGACGACTGCGTGATCTCTGTCCGATGAGCCAACCTGGGCTTTTGTGACCACTGGGCCAAGTCTCTAGTACACACTATGATCCACTGAGACAATATGACCCATCGATATATCATACAGTGGGAATATTCTAGTATATTTCTACGGATCGTCGCCTATTAAAGTTTTTTCATCTCTATATATACTTCCTATAAGCCGTTATCTTGGGATAAAAAAAGTTGTAAATCACCGACGTTTGTAACCTCACCCGATATAATAAAGATTTGCTGGTTGGTGCCCGTGGTTTTTTCCTTCTTCCTTGGGAGGGTTTTCCACGTTAAAATCTCGTGTCCCCTGTGTGTTGATCTGATGTTCTTCGTTATTTATATTGCCTATCGTTTCTAACATATATAAGTGATATCCCTAACTAATTTGGAGTTGCTCTTGCAACTCATTGTTTGTAAGTTTTTTTATTCCTCTATGCTTGCAGGGTTTGTTAGTTTACAATGACGAAGGACAAAAAATATATGAAAATAATTTGGATATAGAAGTGTGCAGAGAGGTAAGCTGCACAGACACTAATTGATTAACATGTTTTTAAACTCTTGTCTGCCGCTGTAAGGTTGGTGCTCTTAGCGTTTCAAGGGCTTCTATACTCTTTGGAGCACATAATTGCCCTGGTGGCCTTTAGCTAGGATGATTGCTACACAATGTTTGATGATCCTCTAGTGGATTTTCTCCATGTTGTGTACCACAAACCAAAGGTGCGGTTTTTTGCTCTTATGGGCAAGTGCTCCAACCCCACGCACATCCAAAGGTGCATGAGTTGGGAGCACATGCCCCCTAAGTGCAGATTTAACATTTCCATGCCTACTATAAAAAAATCACAGATGGATGTGAACAAAATTTCTAAGAGAAAAAATACTACATAGTTGTGGCTGACTTGTGCAAGGAGCAAGCAGGGCCATTCTTTTCATGCACTGTCAGTGGCCTTTCAGACTGCATGGTTCATGTTTTTCCTAAGTAGCTTAAATCAGTCCGAACAACAATATAACTTTCCAATAGAAAACTCTACTCTGCCAGACTATGTTTCTAGGTAATTAACCTGGTCTCGCAAACAAACATTTCAAGGAAGACCTTGATGCAAGGTTAATAATACAGCCAGCTGCTGACTGCAAGGATCTTTGCAACCTTCATCTCAGCCCATCCATATAGTAGCTAATAACTCTTCACTACTAATGTATGGCCTACTTGTCTCTTTCACAAAGTTTCTTGATTTTATGTCTAAGCCGACTGTAAACTTACAATCCGCTTCTCTTTTCTCTCCTTTTTCTCTCCCCTCCGCTTCAGCATTCAGCTTGCTATTATACTTGCTCTAACCATTGAATTGATACTATTTTCTGAATGGCTAAGGTGCGTTACTATAGGTGCTTGATGCTTCGGAGGCAACATGCATTTTCACTCAGCTTTTGTTTCATCAATGAAACGCACAAGACGATTTGCTAACAAATTGGTTTCTCAATGGAGCACGGTGGTAGATGGGCCTGGTTCCTTGCAAAGCACTCAAACTCAAACAACGAGTCGTCGCTAAAGTTCACCTGTTTCTATTTAGCGCCGCCAGGAGCGCAGAGTACACCAGGTAAATCATCTGTTATGCTAGTCTGAACTTGTAATTTTTTATTTTCTGAAAACAGGCAGGAGAGAACAAATCCTCCAGTCACGTCTGTCGGCCTCTGGATTGCTGATAGGTTACCTATCACTGGAGGACCGACACGTACCTATCGGCCTTCCAGGGGCCGACTAGTATATCGGCCGTTCAGGACCTGACTAGTGTCTCTACAGGGCCACCGACTGGCTTGTCGGCCCTATGAAGGCCGATAGGGCTTGTAATTTTTTATTTTCTGAAAACAGGCGGGAGAGAACAAATCCTCCAGTCCAGTCCTGTCCAGGCCGGCCTATTCGAAACGTATCGATCAACCAATTTGTACTATAACGAAACTGCTGCATTTTTTATCTTATCTTATCAACACAAGCGCGCGTGGAAGAGAAATTCGTGTGTTGGTCTGTTGGAATGGGAACGTGCACTAGGCCGCCGTTGTCAGTGCCGCGACAGGACGGCGTCGTACAGGCCGTGCGCGGCGAACGCGAGGCCGAAGAGGAGGATGGCCCAGTCGACGGCGCGCTGCGCGGCGCCCGCGGCGTGGCCCACGACGCGGAGGTGGAACAGCGCGGGCAGCACGAAGGAGAGCAGCGCGCACACCGTGCTCCCCACGAAGGACGCGAACGACCCGAACGCCGGCACGAAGCACGAGATCGCCGACAGCGCCACCAGCACCGCGACGCGGCTCGCGTGCAGGGCCGCCCGCTCCATGGCGCCGCCGACGTGGCAGCGCTTTCGCAGCCACCCGCCCGGCGCCAGCAGCCGCGCCTCCACGATCTCGTGGATCGGGTGCATCATCACCGGGAATGTCAGCGCCAGCGCGATGCACAGCACCACCTGCAGGAAAAAGTAGCCATTATTTAGCCTCTGGTTTCGTTTCACCGATGGCCCGATGGGGCCGGCCGTGTTGTTCGAGCGTGAGGGAGTTTTTTTCCTGACCGACCTTGACGGCGGCGGCGGACCAGGTGCTCGGGAGGTTGAGCGTGATGATGTCCTTGGTGGCGTCGCCGTAGGCGAGGTAGCCGCAGGCGCCGAATTAGACGTACACGGCGGTGACGCCGGTGATGGCCTGGAGGAGCACGGAGCGGAACCTGCTGCGGTCGGCCATGGACGCCTCGAGCGCCAGCGTCATGCAGAAGCCCTCGAAGCAGAAGACGGAGAAGCCGGCGGCGAACGCGACGCCCCAGAGCCCCGCGACCGCGTCCCGGCCCTGGAACGGCTGCTCGCCGCGCGCGGCCAGGAGCTGGAGGTCCTGCTTCACCACGGTGGCCACGGCCAGCACGGTGCACGCGTCGGCGAGGATGCTGAACTGCCCGAGCGACGACAGCGAGCGCACCAGCGAGAGCGCCGCCTGGACGGGCAGTAGCAGCGCGAGGACCACGGTGGCCGGCGTCAGCGGGCCGTGTCCGTCCTCGGTGGCGAACACGGACGACACGTTCTGGCCGATGAACACGAGGTACGCCACGGTGCCGCCCGTCTGCGACAGGATGATGGTGGCCTCCGTGAAGTGCCTGCCGATCCGGCCGAAGCACCTCTCGCCTAGGTCGCCGTAGGTATAGTTGCAGCAGCGGTGCTGCTCGCCGTCCTCCTCCGTCTCTTGCTCTTGTCTCTGCATTCCAGCTTCATTTTGGCAGACGACGAAATTTTGGATCACTCAGTAAGCTAGATCTGGAGCAAAGATTGATGGAAGCAGGAGGAGCATGGATGGATGCACTGTTACTGTACTGACCAGCAGGAGCATGCAGTAGAAGGTGGCGGCCCCGGCACCAGCGACGCCGAGAGCGCCGGCGAGCCAGCCGGCGGTGCGGAAGGCGTAGGGCAGGCCGAGCACCCCGGTGCCGACGATGGAGACGACGATGTTCCCGATGGTCTGCGCCGGCGTGGCACCCCTTCGCGCCTCCTGCAGCAGCGGCGCCTTCGCCTCCGCCGCCATTGACCGCCGGCAACCAACGCCGTCTCTATGGAGGGGAGAAGGAAGCCTGCCTTGAGCAAGGCAGGAGGGCTTAAAACCGGCGTCGCCGTCAACGTCGACGTCGACGCGTCTCTTTCCGCAATTTCTTTTCCTACTCGTGCATCGTGCTCTTGGTTCGACGCGCGCGGAGATGAGGATGATTGGATCGGATGATCCGACCATGTCATCATGAGATGGCGTGGTGGGTGTGGGGGGTGGGTGGGTGGCCGAGTAGCCACAGTGGCACGCATCCTGTGCTGTGCCAGATGTGCGCGCGTGTTCTTCCGTTTCTGGCAGGGAACGAACACGTGTGTGGAAGCCGGGAATAAAGTTTAAGAAGTGTCTTATTGTTGTCGTATGGGTGTTCAGTTATTAATAAAAAAATAAATTATATAATACGTTAACAATTTACGAGATGAGTTTATTAAGCCTAATTAATCTATCATTAACACATATTTATTGTAGCACCACATTCACCCCCGAAATGGCACACGTGGTTGACTGGATTTTGGCAACCATTTTTTTTATTGGATCGCGGACTGGTTTGGCCCCGGCGGATCTGGTGGTTGGATCGTCGCCGCCGACCGTCGGGATCCATCCGGTTGTCGTGGTAGGGCTCATGGATCTGGAGGCGTCGAGTGGCTGACGAGAGGAGCAGCCACGTGCAGCACGATCGTCTGTCACCGTAATCTCATCGCCAGAGAAGAATCATGTATTGGTGAGTCATGGGAGAGCGGACCAATGATTAAGCACAATCCTTCTGTATTTTTTCCTTTCGGATTTGGACGGAGAAAATCTTTTTCTACGGTAGTCCGTTACTACAAACTGGTAAGTAGGCAGGTATATCGCTACACCTCAACTATCTCGTCTATCTCGTATGCCGTTTCATGCATTGCCACGTACGATTTTTGCTGATGTGGAAAAAAAAGAGAAGGAGAGAGAAATAGATTGTTGTTTCATGAAACAACCGTCCTGTGAGCTAAAATTTAGAATTATGAGACAACTATTTTACCATTATATGAGTTGTTGTTGCCATAAAACTCACAACTTTACATAAATTAAGGAATTTATGAGTTACTGCAAGACAACTTAAAAAATAACCATGGTATATATTGTCTATTAAGTTGTTTTAAAATTACCCTGTGACATTATATGATACCACCTACGAGACAAGACCAATGTACTGGCTAACTAGGCTTTTGGAATTGGAGGCTCTCGTTTTTTATCGCGTGGAGAAGGACGTTAGTTGGGCTTGACAAAAGAGAATGGCTGGAGTGATATGTTAGCAAATCTTTTCCTTGCTTTAGCCGAACAACACTCCCTCAATCTCAAATTATAAGATGTTTTGATTTTTCTAGGTTCATAGTTTTTTCTGCACATTTAAATATATGTCATGTCTAGATACGTAGTAAAATCTATGAATCTAAAATTGTCAAAACATTTTATAATTCAAGACAAAAGAAGTATTAGTTTCGGCTAGCCTCAACTGGCAAGACGAGCCTAGGGGGCTTGTTTGGTTGTCTGATGCATCTAGCTTGGTCTGAATCCAAGAGTTTGGCTCACTCCACCCAACCTTAAGCGCATGCATGCTATTTTATTTAGTTTCTTGTATGCATAGAGTTTGACTCAGAAGAGATATTGTTTAGTTACTTGCATGAGTACACATCATATAACATGAATATATCAAAATAAATATTAAATAATTATTATTTTATGATATTACGTCATAATAACATCACCTTGTTCGCTTATGCTGATATTTGTCTTATGCTGATGGTTATGCTGAAATGTTGTGAGAAAAAAATACTGTTCCATGATTGAAAAATAGTGCTGAATAAAATTACTTAATATTGATTAATTATGTGCTACTAATATCATTAACTATACTAATACCCGCCCGACACGAGCCTGGCTTGCTGGATATAGCCGATTCCTATGTTTCCCTTGGGCCTGGCCCGGGGAGCCCTTTTTCATGCGTGTGGCCAAGCCCAGCGACATGACCAGGCATCCAAACACGGTCCCTACTGGCAACAGGCCTTGCTGGAGGCAATACATGCAACCAAACATGCCATTAGACAAACCTAGCCTAGAAACCAAATGTATTGTCATTTCTATTTGGAATTTGAAAGCGTTCTCATTAGCGCACTGTTACTCCGGACTAAGAATCAGCTAATTTGGGTTAAAAAGAGCTAGTGATTAACAGAAAGTCGTTTTTCTTTACCATCGTACCTGTATCCATGTGTCAACTTTTCCTCTCTTATCCCCTGTGCTCATGCGTGGACTAGGGGCAAATGCAACTTTTACCATGAAAACAAGTACCTATTAGTCCAGTATATATCAAACAAACATCTATATATTTTAATTTTAGCTAGTCAGTACCTATTAGTCCAGTATATATCAAACAAACATCTATATATTTTAATTTTAGCTAGTCAGTAATGATTATAGCTCAAACATGTCCTAAATTTCGTATTTGTAAATTTTAATTTTGTAAAAGCCAGGCACGCGTCTCAGTTTTCATACTCCGTATAGCGCATAAACTTGGCATGCATGTTGGGTGCAAATTTTTTGTCAGGCTGCGGCATGTTATGGCATGATGATCTGCCAACTCTTCTACCAACTAATGTAACAAACCTTGTCGCTGCCGCTGTACTCCCTCCGTATCGTATTTAGGTGTCGTTCTAGAGGCCAGGCCGGCTGCGGCAAAAGAAGTCGTTCATGATAACGAGGGCGATTTTGGACGCGATGCTAGGCACGCGCGCCACCCGTTCGCATGGCCGCCCGTTCGCATGGTCTCCTCGTCATTAATCGTGGACTCCTCGATTGAAGAGATCGCCTCAGCACGCAGACCGCCCACAGCACGCTCGCCGCTTGTCCGCACGCCTACTTCATCTCCCTCACGCTCGCCTGTGGATTCCGGCGGCTAGAGTTTAGTACTGTTCGGTTCGTTTCGTCTCTATGGAGACCGGCGGCGCGCGGGTGCTGGTCGCCGCCACGGCGGCGTCGGGCGGAGTCGGAGGTGCTCGCCATGAGGAGGACATCGGGCGGAGTCGGAGGAGGTCGCCATGAGAGGACGTCGTCGACCACCTTGCTGTCCGTGGACTCGACCTGCCGCCGCCCGTCGCGCTGAATTCGCAGGAGCCGGACGAGGTCATCGTCTTTGCTTCGCCATGACGGCGTCGTGCCGGATTCGCAGGAGGTCGCCGCGGACGGCGTGGCGCTGGACTCACAGGAGCCGGATGAGGGCAACGTGCTGGTCCCCGCGGACGGCGTGGCGCTGGACTCACAGGAGCCGGACGAGGTGGTGTCGGAGTCGCAGATGCCGCCGGACTCCATCATGCCGGAGTTGCTGGACTCCATGGGCGTGGTGCCGGATTCCTTGCCGCCGGGGGCGTTTGTATGCGGTCGCTGTGGTTTCGTCCATGAGGATTGCGAAGCATGGAACCGTGCGCACTTGTGGTTCTATCCATGCCCTAGTTGTGGTCTCGTCCACGCGGACTACTCCATCGACGCCATGCTCGGCCGCATCAAGGTGGACTGCGAGCTTTTCATGGAGCATTACAAGGGCTTGCTGCCGACAAAGGACGACGCCAAAGCATCGGTAAGAAGCATGCTCTAGATAAATAATGCTAAACTGTTACAAGAATGCCTCTACTACTAATTATAGCATCAATCAAATTGTTTCTGAAGCGACCTGATTTCCACGAAGGGAAATCCACAGAGTCGAAGTGTAATAAGACCGTTGTATATCATATTACCCAAATTCCAGTCGAATATCACATCCATACAACGATAATATCAGAGTATAAATAGTGCAGAATTACATAAATTATTACATCGCCGCATTAGCGGAATCAAAAGTAGCATTCAATCAGAACAGCTTGAAGATAAGATCGCCAAACTCGAGCGTAGTAACGAACCCCTCAACCGTCAAACTCGGAGCTATACTCCTCAGCAGAACTTGTGTGCCAAAATTTATCAGTACAATTTGTACTGGCCACTCCCACCTTATGAGCATTGCTTTGTGGAAATTGGATGCAAGTTGGATATAATCAAAAGGAACCTATAAGGCTGGGGTTTCCTATGTATTAGTATATCAAGTACATAATAATAGTTGGTCAAGTTTTAACACCATTCCCACATCCATTGCACCCCATTTTCGTCTAGAGCCAGGTTTCAATCCTGGGATCGATACACCACCATCACCATACCATACCCATACCATCACTCAGTCGACAGGCCAACTCCCTCTCGGCACTGTCTCAAGGCCCGTAGCCCCTGGCTACGTTCGAACACTCACTCCCGGGGGAGAAGAGGACTCATCTCTCTATCTAGTTTAAGCGAAATCCAAGAAAGATCCATAGCCGATAAGTCGACATATGTATCGATCGATCAACCATACACCCTGTAGAGGTTTTACATAACCACAAGATCCGCCTTCCTCGCTGACCATCGTCAACTGGGCTGATTCCGATCGCTTGCTAGCCTAGGATAATGCCACTCTACCATTCAGCCCTGGTACACCCCAAGTCTAGTCTGGGGTGGCTGAAACTATGAGTCATGAGCCGGGTCCACAAGGTCTCCATGAAGTCTCAGAAGGGTGTGGGGAAAATCCTCCGCGCCCCGTACCTCCCTCACACTGTCCGCTATCAACCTAGCAGTAGTGGCAGTATCCTACCAAGTAGTCCGGCCATCCCGCACCATATAGGGAGAGTGGTACGTAAGGCTTCCTGGTGAATCTGAGTACTAGTAAGTCCTTAGGGATGACCAAGCAAGAATGTCTTCATCAGAGTTTTCATTTACCGTGCCACCACAGCACCTCCACCCTGGGCTCCTCCCATCACAGGTTCACACCCAAGGCCACCTCATATACCATTTACCCACCACAGGTATCCATTCCAGGGGTGCCCAGGTAGCACCCCATGGCAAGACTTGCCCTAGGCTCGTCGTATACTCCAACTTAGTCGACATAACCCTCACCC